CTCTGGGGTCTTCATTTTCGGAGGTCTGATTTACATATGGTAAAATGTCAACATTTTAAGTGTATAGTTTGATAGGTTTGGGCAGCTTTATTAAATTTTTTTGGAGAAAATGTATGGGGAAATATGTCTATACTACCACTATACAATGAGGAGTGTTGAGGAAATGCCTGAAAACTTCTATAAAGCAATTTCTCTTGGAGTTAATTAACAGTGAAAAGGGATTTTTATCCATGTCAGATTATTGTTTCAGCTTGCTTAATCAGGACAGACGTGACTTCAGTCTTTGAGTAACAGTATGTACCCCAGGATAAACATAAATAACAGGCTTCTGGTAAACCATAGCAGATGTTTGATATCAAATAGATTTGGGATTGATTCTGTCACTTTCTTTTTTTTTTTTTTTTTGGTACCGGGGATCAAACTTGGGTCCTTGCGCTTATGCAGCAGGCGGCGAAACCACTGAGCTAAACCCCCGGAAAAACATGGATTTTTAAATTTTTATTTATGTTTTTACCGGAAATCGAACTCAGGACCTTGCGCTTACGAGGCAGGCGGCGGAACCACTGAGCTAAATCCCCAGCCTCTTGGTCACTTTCTTTCAAGGTCATGTACCCCAGAATAACGGATCCAATTTGTGCTGGCTGTAATGGAAATAAATCTTGTCTAATGACTTTCTCAAACAATATTAACATGGCTGTGCCTGCCTGGCAAGTACAAGGTCCTGAGTTCAATTCCCAGTAAGGTGGGGGGTAGGGGGAGAGACAATATTAATATGTAAATTTCTTTCTGATTCAGAGTAATTCTGTTGTCATTCTCTAAGATCTCCAACACTCTTTGAGAGGGGGGCGGGGAATTTAGTTCAGTGGTGCTGTGCCTGCCTGGCAAGCACAAGGTCCTGAGTTCGATTCCCAGTATGGGGAAAAAAATAAAATAAAAGAGAGGGCACCAAAAGTATGTCAATGAATGAAGCTATGACTGTGTCCATATTCTGGATAATATACCACTCTCTCACAAGTTGGAATATAGCGTGTGTTATTTGTCTCTTACCTGGTCCTATCCATGCTGTTACTTCAATCTGCATACCAAAGAAAAGCTTTCCTTTTGATGCAGTTAATGCTTTTTCTTGGTCCTCTTGCTGCCGAAAGAACACCAGACCATACCTCTCTTCTGAAGCTCCATGGATCTGCACGGAAGTCACCTTGCCAAATTTCTTAAATTCATGGAAAAGGCCATCTTTAAGGCTTGTGTCTAAATCCCCAAGGAAAAACAAGTTAACAAGTTAGTTATAACTTAATAAACAAACTATTAAATCTCTCATTTTTTTTTTTTAATTGAGACAGGGTCTCACTCTAGTTCAGGCTGGCCTTGAATTCACTATGTAGCCCAGGCTGGCCTGGAACTCATGGCAATCCTCCTGCTTCAGCCTCCTGAGTGCTGGGACTACAGGCATGTGCCACCATGCCCAGCTAGCAAACTATTAAATCAAGATTCCCAGAGTCTATTTCATTCCTCAACAGTAGCTGAATGTACAATCGTAAAATTTTACCTGTAGAGCGTACTGGAAGATTCTGAACCTTGATCCCAAAACTCTTACGGGGCTCATCTTTTTCCAGAGATGAAAGCAACTGGGAAGTGGGAGCCGGGACTGCTGCAGACTGAACTGATCGGGCTGGAGAGTCATCACTCGAACTGCTGCTGGACTCACTGCTGCATAAAGTCAAAACAAAACAAAACATACTCACAAACTTTAGTGATAAAACTATGTGAGTAGCATATAAAACTTAATATTAACATAAGATATAAAAATTCTTAAAATTAACAAGTAACAGGGCCAGAGATTTAGCTCAGTGGTTCCGCCGCCTGCCTTGAAAGCAGAAGGTCCCAAGTTCGATCTCTGGTATACCCCCCACCCCAAAAAAGCAAGAAAATTAACAAGTAGCAATAATTAACAGTTCTAAACTTTATGACTGGGATCTCTGGAGCCCGACATTCTCTACATCTACCACACTTAGTCTCCAGAGATGGCAGAAGACAGTGCACACTGGCTTGAGAATGGGACGTAAAAGTAACACTGTTTTACCAACATATCCTACCCAACAGCAACATTCTACATTCTATGAGTCATTCTAGTGATTTGTTTGAAATGAAATAAAGCCAGAGAATGCAATTCACTTAGACTATATTAGTAACAGTAAAAGAACAATGGATATATGGTTTTGGATTCAGCGATATAGATTCCAATCTTGACTCACATATGTATCACACATTCTTGGACAAATTATTTAACCTCCTGCTAAACCTCAGTCTCCACATCCATAAAATGAAATGGTATTTATCTCATGGGGTTAAGAATTAAATAATATAACCCACAGGTGTGGGGTTTGAAATGCCAGGTATTCAACACATTTCTGGCACTGCTTTCCCACTACAGGTTGAGTATCCCTTATCTGAAATGATTGGGTCAAAAACTTTCAAATTTCAGGTTTTAGAATACTGGCGTTCTTGGGGATGGGTCTCAGGTCTAAACATGGAGATCATTTACATTTCATACGCAACTTATATACACAGCCTGAAGGTAACTTTATGTGATATTTTTAATAATCTTGTATAAGGAACAACGTTTTATGATACACAGTTTTCAACTTGTAGTGTCATGTTTCAGATTTTGAACATTTCCAACTTTTTTTTTGGTACCAGGGGTTGAACTTGGGACCTTGTGCTTGCGAGACAGGTGGCGGCACCACTAAGCTAAATCCCCAGCCCCCAATTTTGGATTTATGGATTAGAGATGCTCAGTCTATATTATTATTCGTAATAGTACCTCACTGGAAAATTAAATTTTTGAACAAAAGAATAAGATAATTTTGCTTGACTTTTATTAGTTTAGGCTCTGATGTTTGGTTAATGTGAAAAGTAAGTTGGGTGTGGTGGTGCACGCCTGTGATCCCAGCACTCGGGAGGCTGAGGCAGGAGGATCACTGTGAGTTCAATACCAGCCTGGTTCAAGGCCAGTCTGAACCACATGGCAAGACCTAGTCTCAAAGAACCAAAAAAAAAAAAAGTGAGAGTTAAAGAAATGGGATTTATTACTCTCTTAGTTTAATAAAATCCTCAAAAGAAAATCAATTAAAAAACAAGAAAACAGGGCCGGGGATTTACCTCTGTGGTTCCACCACCTGCCTTGCAAGCGCAAGGTCCCAAGTTTGATCCCTGTTACCTGCCCCCCAAAAAAGAGGCACCAAAAGCTGTTTACAGATACAGCCACCTTTGTGAAGTTTTGTTTCATATCTTCCTGTTACAGAAGCCTCATTCAAACAAGTACCTGGAGGTTAATCCATTTTAAACACACTAACTATAGGAAATAATCCATGGTAGTTTTTGTTATTTATACTACAACCACAAATGTCATATCCAGGACAATTACAATATTCAGACAAATGAGTCCAACCTTAGGATGAGAAAAGTTTATTGCTTTTTTCAAAAATAAATATAGCATGCTTTCTTACAGAACCAGCTTTTATATTTAGTTCTCACATGCTAAGGCAAAAAGAAAACTTTATGAGGTTATTACAAGAACTTTCACTTCTGCAGCTTGAAATGTGGAGAAAGTCAAGCTAAGTACAACTGAACTAAGTAGGGACAGAAGCCTCAGGGTACGGATGGGGCTCAGCTTGGTTACAGAGCACACTTGCTCTTCTAACTTGCTCCCAATAGTGGAGTGTATGCTCTCACTGTGTTCAGTTCCCAGCATCAAACATCAGCGACAACATACGACAACAACAAAACTCCTTTAGATAGAACCACAGCTGTCATTGCCAGGCCTCCTATACTGTACGTGATCAGGTTTCAGTTTTCTCTTCTGTAAAAAGGGAAACTTTTTTATATCATTACTTAAAAGCAGTGTTACTAGCACCAGAAAGTATCCTGATTAGAATATTACATTGAAATTCAGGTTACAGAGCCGGGGATTTAGCTCAGTGGTTCCACCACCTGCCCTCCAAGTGCAAGGACCCAAGTTTGATCCCTGGTACCAAAAAAAAAAAAAAAGAGTAGAAATTCAGTTTACAAAATTAACCTTGTTTTTTAGCACAAAATGGAAAAGAAGTCTTGTCATACGTGCTACATAGAAATATTTAAACTGGATGTGGTGGTGTATGCCTGTAATCCCAGCACTTGGGAGGCTGAGGCAGGAGGATCATCACTGAGTTTGAGGCCAGTCTGGGTTACATAGTGAGTTCAAGGCCAGCCTGAACTGCCTAGTGAGACCCTCTCAAAAATATGAATAAATAAATACTCTAAGTAATACAAGATTATTCACAAAGCTACAAGAAGACTACAGTATAGAATGTTATGTGATTTATCAACTTAATAAATTCCAATGAATCATAAGGTAACTAATTAGGAATGTATTTTAATTACAATACTACCAATAGTATATACAACAAGATTTCTTAGTAACAGTAAGTAAAGAAGTAAAGGCGGCCAGGGGTCAGGGCACATACCGACAGTCCTAGCTACTTGGGAAACTGAGGCAAGAAGATCCCCCTGCAAGTTCAAGACCATTCTAGAAAATTAAGAAAGATTCTGTTTCAAAAAACAGGGCTTGCTTAGCATGCACCAGGCCCTATATTCAAGCCCCACTTTAAAAAAAAAAAAAAAGTAGTAGTAGTCAACACACATGGGCTAAGGCAGAATTTCTGGCTATTGAAATGAGACAACAACAACAACAAATATATATATATATATATATATGTATTACAAAAATAGAACCCACAGTAGTGGTATACGCCTATAATCCTAGCTGCTTAAATCAGAGGAAGGAGAATCCTAAATCAAAGCCAGCTTGGACAATTTAGAAACTCTCTCTAGAATTAATAAAAGGGGCTGGAGACATAGCCTAGTGGTAGAGCACTTGCCTAGTATGTGCTAGGCCCTAGGTTCCATCACCAGTACCAAAAAAATAAAAAAGAACAAAAGCTTTGTTTCCATTTAGCTTTTGTAAATGAGGATGGGAAGAGGGGTTTACAGGCAGGTAGGGGGAATGGGAAAAAATAAGAATCAAGATACATTACATACAGGTACAAATTCCCTATGATGAATGTCATCATTATGTATGCCTAAAATGTACCAAGAAACTTACATAAATACATTCATACTTACACACATTCATACATACAGAAGATGCCCTGTCAATGGTAATAATTGTTTAAAGAAAGCATGTCAAAATTTTTGGGTTACCTGGGCCACACTGAGTGAAGAGGAATTATCATGGGCCATATAATAGTTAATGTATATAAGTAACACAACTTCCTGTATTTCTAAGTATTTGTCATTCTAGTATTTTAAAAACCAGTGGGGGGCAAGCAGCCAGCAGGCTGGACATGAATGGTTAAAATAAAGTAGAAAATAGTGACATATATTAGATTTGCTGTGAATCTCATCCACACTCTCTTTGATGAATCCCTTGGGGCCACACCAATTCTGAAACATGATGTAAAATTCAACTGCTGACTAAAGTGGTAACTAAAAAGAGTAACAGGTTTTTAAATGAACTATGAAATAATACAAGATTTGAGTTCACATTTTGGTTTTGGTTTGTTTGTCTGTTTAAGACAGGGTCTCATTATATAATTCAGACTGGCCTTAACTCACTATGTAGCCTAGGCTGGCCTCGAACTAGTGGCGATTCTCCTGCCTGAGCCTCCCAAGTGCTGGGATTACAGGTGTGTGCCACCACGCCCGGCTACATTTTGCAATGTTAATATAAACTATAATGAATACCTTCAGTATAGTATATTAAATATACTACGGATTTTAAAGATATTGAATCAAAAGAGAGAGTCACAGGTTTAGATACCCAAATATTTTTCAGTCCTACTGATCTAATATAAATAAAGGCCAGATCCCCAGAAATGTGTTCATGTTTTTGTTTGTGGTACTGAGGATGGAACCCAGAAATTTTCTATCACAGAGCTACATTCTCAGCCTGTTTTATTTCTGGAGACAAGGTCTCACTACACTGCTCAGGCTGGCCTTGAGCCTGTGATCCTCTTGTCAGCATCCACAAGAGCTGGGATTACAGGTTTGCACCATTGCATGATAGCAAAATGTATCCATCTTAATTAAAATTTTTTCACAGCTTGGTTAAAGCTACAATAACTTTTCTTTTCTTTTTTTTTTTTTTTTTGGTACCAGGGACCCAACTGGGGTCCTTGCACTTTCGAGGCAGGCGGCAGAACCACTGAGCTAAATCCCCGGTCTCCTAGAATCACTTTTAAAAGGGGAATTTTAAATGTCTAACAAAGAAAAAGTCTTTGGATAGCTATTCTATTCCACTCAGAAATCCTATACTGGTAGCAGTGAACACAATCACTGGCTCTCTAGGGAAAAGAGCAGCAGCTACAGCATTTATAGGCATCTAGTAGGTAAAGGTCAGCAATGGTGATAAATACCCTGTGGACATAGGACAGTCCCCACAACAAAGACTTCTATGGTCTGGACTGTGAACCATACTAGTACCATAGTTGAGAAACACTGGCCTACATTGTTTCTTTGACTGCCTTCTCTTCTTTTGAAAAACTAACATGCTAGCTGGGAAGAGGGCATACACTTGTAATCCCTACTACTCAGGAGACTGAGATAGGAGATCACAAGTTCAAGGCCAGCCTGGGTAACTTAGTGAGACTCTGTTTCAAAATTTTAAATAA